CCATTTCCTACAGAGGTTCCTCTTTCATCTAATCCCTCTAACCACCTCCTTTCGCATCCATGGCAGCACTCTCCTCCGCCTCCCCACCTTACTGACTAGAGGTATCGTCAAGGCTTGCACCTCCAAAACCTCCCTTTTGAGTGCTATCCACTCCTCCTCAGCTCGCTTACCTTCCAGTAACCTATCCCAGGAGACTTTCCCCAGTCTGGCCTTCAGTTGGCCAAAGTTGGCCCTCTTGAAGTCCCAGCTTCTAGTGTTCGACCTGCTGCACGTCCCCAGTCCCCTGATCTCAAAGCAAAGGATGGAGTGATAACTCGCATCCAGAGCTCCCCTAAACTGTACTTCATCTATCAGCTCCTCCCTATTGGTCAAGACCAAGTCAAGGATGTTCCCCCCCCCCTTGTCGCCTCTCGGACCCTCTGTGTGAAAAACCCTCCCTCTATAGCTTCTAGGAAGCGACATGACCTGGCTGTCACCGCCGAGTGAGTCCCCCAAGTAATATCCGGGAGACTGAAATCTCCCATAATTACTGTGTCTCTCCCCTGAGATATCCTTAGAATCCGGCCTGTCAGGACATCATCCAGGGTCTCAAGTTGACCTGGAGGGCGATAACATACCCCCACTGTCAGGTCTCTTTCCCTGTCAAAACCCCTAAGTTTCACCCAGACTGCCTCTACCGAATCCCCATCTGTGCTGCATTCTATCTCGCTGCATCCTATCCCTTCCCTGATGTATAAAGCCACGCCCCCACCTCTCCTTCCCTTCCTGTCCTTTCTAAAATGGTGATACCCCTCTATGTTCACATTCCAGACTTGCCTTTCATCCCACCAAGTTTCTGTAATTCCCACCAGGTCATACCCTCCTATTCCCAGGAGAGCGTCAAGCTCTTCCTGCTTATTACCCATGCTCCTAGCATTGGTGTACATGCACCTCAACTCCTTCCCACCGCTTCCTTTCCTTGGAGTTCCCAGCCTCCTCCTTCCTCCCTGATACCTGACCCTTCTCTGTAGGAGTCCTGTCAGTCCCTGCAGTATCAATATGGTAAATGTCAGGTGTTTGAGAACCACAACTGGGGGGTGGGTGGAGAGAGGCAAGTGGATGTCCCCAGCAGCGAGCTGTGCTGGGAAATAAACTCAAAGAGCCGTGTGTGGCTCCCAAGCCTTGGCTGGCCACCCCAGCATAGACTGTGCCTGGCAGATTTAGAGATGTTTTAATCTCAGGCTCATTCCTGTCAAGACTCTTATTTACGCTGTATTACTACAAAGTGTCAGCATTGCTCAACCATTCTTTGCTTGCTCGCTCTTGCTACCTGCAGTCACTCAGCACTGCCCACGGCCTTGCCTCGAATCTATAGCACTCCATCTTCCAATTATTTCAACTTTGCTGTGAAGTGTTGTGGGCTTTTCCCACACCTTCTCATTGTTGAATATCAGCTTGGCTAATAAACTAATCTGTTTTAGGTCCCATATTAAAATGGTAATGAGACACAGCTGGAGATCAACTATTCTTTCCCATTAATGTGCTTCCTACATCTTAATTGAATTTCTTAATCTAGCTAAGTATAGCATGAAACCAAATAATTACTAAAATAAAAAAGAAAACAGGATCAAGCCTGAGGAGGTGAGCAGAAGTATTGTATTGCATAAATTTATGCATTTATTTAAATTTTCTCTCTCCTTCCAAGGATCTCAGAGCAATATACCTAGTTCAGACTTCCCCACCTGCACCATCCTTTTAAAGAGGAGTAAGATGTGTGAGTATAGATAGACTGATGATGGTCTTGTACCCCTTCTCTAAGGAATTACTGAAGAAATCAGTAGATGCTCTTTACCTAATTTTCCATCTGCATTTCTACTCTAAGACTGAGGCAGAAAATGGGATGCTTCAAGATTCACAGTTCCCAGAGCTATGGATCAAAAGGCATCTTCTGCAGCTGCTTCATCTTTCCAGCTGTGATGACTCGGTGCCCACAGACACCCTGACTATAGGTGCAGGGCCTGGTGCAGCAGGGCCTGGTGCAGCAGCGCCAAGTGCTGCAGGCTGCAGCTATCAAAAGTAAGACAAGCCCAGTCACCAAGTGCTCTCAGTTCCTTGGGAACAACTAGTAGGAATCCAGCTGGGCTCTTGCATTGGCTTCTTTGCAGCCCCCTTGTGCTCAGCACATGGCATGCAACCTGGTGGTTCAATGGGGCTCGTGCCTAGTAATAAGTCTAGTCAGTGTGGCTGCCCCTTTCACCCCCTCCCCCATTTAAGCTATGCTTCTAAAGTAGGCGAACCCAACTTGCCTTTGGTTCATAACTTTCTGGCTGTCTGCTCCTGGTATGCTAGATGCCTTTGATCTGATTTAGCATAGGCTACTCTCAGGAGTCATTGGTTTTGGCAGTGGATTGGCAATTCAATCCTATGTGTATACTTAGAGTGCTTTCAAACAAGTCTTTGAGCAAATCATTATTCACAGAATGTTACCAGGGTGGTTCAGATGAAGATTTCTTCTCTTTGTAACCCTCCCACATTTTCCACAGTCACTTCTGACTTTTTTCTTATGTGAAAGAACTGCCTAAGAATACAAAGAATAGCTGCACAATGCTTACTAACTGTTCATGTTTAAAGGCTTGGGTCAGAAAGCATCCTAGGCGTTTACTTGGATGTAATTCCCAGTTTGTTCAAGAGGAGCAGATGTAAGGTACCAATTACACAATTAGCAATTACATGATGGGCTTTTACAAAATAAATTGAATGGGTCCCCTTGTCCCTGCAATTTACTTTTAAAAGCCAATCATGCAAGTGCTAATTGTGTGATTGGCATCTCAACTATACCCTGTATTCTCTAGTAAATGTGTTTAAGGTTGCATCTTTAGGATAGAATAATGCTTTATCCCAACCAGGATCCCAAACATGTGTTTGTCAGTTAATGTGAGTGAAGGAAGAACATTTACTGGAAAGGTAGGGCAGGCAAAAGGAGGTACTTAACAACTACAACGACAACTCCTCCTTGTGTGCATTTTGCCTCCACGCCATTTTCTTCAAAGGCCTGGTTTCTCTTTGTTTTGCTGGAGAAGGGCTGAGGAACAGACAGACCCAGATAGAAGGTTCTGGGAAGAATATCTTCAGGTGCAGAAGAGAATCATCTGGCTTAAAAGAGTTAAGCTTTTTTTAAAAATGCAGTTTTATTGTATGTTATGCTTTTTATCTTCTATAGTCTGCCCAGATAATTTTAGTTATGAACATATTGAAATATTTATTTATTATTATTCCAAACATTTGTATCCCGTCCTTCTGCAAAAGTGCTCAGGACAGCTTACATAGTCGTAAGTCATAGATAAAAGCAATCACTAAAGTATCTGCTGAGGCACTGATTTTCTCCTGTAAACATCTGCTCATCCATACCTGAATTACTATTGCAAAGAATGGACAGAGCTGCAAACCATGGTTTCCCCTAGTACAACTGTTCTGTTTTCAGTCCATCACACAGCCCAAAGCCTTCAAGAAAAATTCCTTTAATTTGGCTTGGGAGATGGGCAACTGGAATACCATACAAGAACAATCAGTTTTAGCGGGAAACATTTTGTAGTGCAGCTCAAATTGGGGGACATTTCCAACACCACAATGAATCTAGGCCATACCTATAACCTTGAATAATATATTAACACCTGAGACATTTTTAAATCTGATTAAGAAGCTGTGCTGTCTTTCCACAAAAGAAAGATTTCTCAAAGTATAAAATAATATCACCGCTAGGATAATGGATAATGAAGGTATGAATTTCAGATAACACCCTCAGAATATGCAACTCTGTGGCTGGATCTATTTTGCTGATTGCTATGCCTGAGTCATTTCATTTGGTGCTATTTGATGGATTCATGTTTAAAAATTTCTTCCTGAATAAGTGACCAGCTGTACAGGATCCCATAACAAGCTCACTTGCAAAATTTACTTCATTCAGCCCAGAATACAAACTCCTTTAGAAACATAATTTCTTAAACTGAGAGCTTCATGTCCCACCAAATACTAGGGCAAAGTGGCTTTTCTACTCAAAGCAGACGGCCAGCACTGGGTAATTACAGTATTTTTCACTCTATAAGACGCACCTGACCATAAGACGCACCTAGTTTTTAGAGGAGGGATCCATGGAAAGCTTCCTGATAATCACAGGCACATTCCCCATCACTTCCCCATGGGCTTCATTAAAAGACGGGTTGCCATTTGACAACACACACCTACCTGTGATTAACAGCTCTCACCTGCGCTGGAGGAGGGGGGCGGAGCAGGGCGTGCTGAGTGCGTGCCGGCCAGGTGTGGTGCAGCTGGGCCAGCAGCGTGCCAGCGGTGGTCTTCCGGGCGGCGCAGCGGCAGGTCTTCCCGGGCGGTGGGGTTGAGCAGTCCGTCTCTCCGTGCGGCCGGCGGGTTAAAGGCCGCGGCTCCTCCTCCTCCACACCGCTCCCCCTGAGCGGCACAGCTCTCACCTGCGCCGGGGGGGGGGGGTGGAGCAGGGTGCACCAAGCACGTGCCAGCCAGGTGGTGCCACGTGGTGCAGGCGGGCCGGCAGCGTCCCGGGCGTCGGGCACACACACATTCGCTCTATAAGACGCACAGACATTTCCCCTTTTGTGGGGGGAAAGTGTGTCTTATAGAGCGAAAAATACGGTATCTATCCATCTACCTCTCACCCCTAGAGGTTGTTACCACTTAATATAGATTCAGGCGAATGGAAGTACGCCTATGAGATAAAGTATTCATATTTCCCTTTCAAAGTGTCCAACAAATGCCTTATGTTCCAAGATAAAAGAAGCACCCATTTGCCATGTTTTCCAAAGCACACCATATTTTAACATATGGTAAATGAGAATCTATATTTACTCATGAGGTAGCAATTCCCTGCATTGCATATGTAAACATTTGGGGAGAAGTTTAACCAGAGCTGCTTTCGTTCACGATGCACCACTGTACCATGTTTTTTGTTTTGTTTTGTTTTGTTTTTTTTGCCAAATTCCCCTGCTGCTTAGTGAGCATGAATGGATTGCAATGTCTGCTGTGTTTAGAGTATGATCAAATGTCACACACCAATAGTGCTGCAATTGTGCAAGAGGTCATTTGAAGGGACCCACAAGCAGTGTTGGGTCACATTTTGCCATATATTGCTTTCTAATGATTGAATTGTATAAGAAGTTGGGGCGGGGCTGTAAGATGAGCCCTGCTACCCCAGGAAGAAAGGTTGCTGAACCTCAACAGGTACGTAGTACATACCCCAGAATTCATACAGCATGGAAACCATGAGAAGGAAGATACGATTAAAGCAGCCTGAAGGAATCTGAAGTCTAAGGACATAAATACTGTGGGAAGGACAGTTTTGGGAGTGCATCGTGGGCTGCCCAAAATGGTCAGGCGTTCTAATCATGGGGAAAACCTCTTCTGTGGGTTGATTAGAAGGATGATAATCTGTTAATATTCTGCTAAATTATTAGAATTTGACCAATTCGCCTAATTTCTGCATTTGTATAGATGTGTATTGGCTCCCAGGATGCTAGAGATTGCCAGTTTACCAAATAGCCCTGCGTATTCCGCTATCCTGGAAATCTGAGAAATACACATTTGAATTAACCCCTGGAAACAAGTTTCAAAAAAACCTGACCTCCCACTGGTTTTGTATCTGAGATGGTACCTTTCCTGCCCTTGCTGTGATGATATTTTTTGAAAGCTTGTCACTTGCTGAGAGCTGAAAATGTGCCCAGGAACCCGAGGACCCCGCACAGCTAGGAGCTGTGATTGTATCTATTTGTTTCTGGATAATAACCACTGAGGTAGCACCAATATATGCCTCCATGTGATGAAAGGAAAAGCTGTTGCTGGAGGGAGGGAAGGGAAAGATTCTTATTCCATTTTGATTTCACATGGCCATTTCTGGGGATGGAGAGGGAAAATATTGTTCATATTTCATCAATTTTTGATGGAGAAATTATAAACAGTCTATCAGAATGATAAAATACAAAATGAGAAAGCAAAGAACAACACAATTGAATTATATTACTGAAAAGAGCAATACATTTTCTTAAACTACCATTTTTGAAAAAAGTCATAATGCCTTTTCTGGTGAACCGAGTTATTCATTCCTTGGCTCCATCCTGCTTACAGGACTCCAACATGCTTTGGTCGGGATGAAGCATGTACAGAAGCCATGACTGGTGCAGATTCCAGCAGCTAGGATGCTAATAGGGCTATAGTATTGCGACCACCTTAGCCCTGACTTGAGAGGCCTGCACTGATTGCCCCTTGCTTTCAATCAAAGCTGCCGGTTTTAAGCTCTAAAGCCCTAAACAGCTTAGGACATGACTACCTAAGGGACTGTCTGCCTCATTATGAACTGGTCCAGTTATTATAATCTGGACAGGCCTTCTTGAGGACACCATTGCCCATAGAAGGGCATTGGGGGGTACCCTTGAAAAGGCTTTTCTCCTGGGTCACTTGCACACTTGGGAATTTAATAGATATTGTTGTTTTTAAAAGAACTTTCTTCCCCCAACTCCCCTGCTGCAACCTTCTTCTTCCTCTACTGATTTTAAAAATATATTGTTATAATCTTGTCAATTGTATTTGCTGCCTGTTTTCGACTTGAACAAGTAAAACTGACAAGGCTCTTGTTTGGTCAGGAAAACACTACCCTTCTTCCCCATTTATGGCTCATCTTTTAAAAATTAGATGAGGGACTGAAGGAGGATCAACTCAAAGCAAAGAGGTGGCTGAGGCTCTGCTTTGTCGAATTGTGTGTATAAAGCTGAACTTTCCAAATTGCCTGTAGAATAATCAGGAGAAAAATAAGCAAGGGAAGGATGCGAGACTGGATAGAAATCTGACGCTACTGCAATCATGCAACAAACTGAGAAAAACCTAGGTGAATGTAAGCGTGCATCCATGTTTATAAATAGCATGGAGTGCTTTGCTAGGGTGGCCGGTCTGTCTTCTGTTATGAAGGGCAGAGACATCCTGTTTGAAGGGCTGTCAAGTCTAAGTCTTTAAACAGGAAGAGCCATGAGAACGAACACTTAGCACTAGCACAGGCAACCAGGGACTCTGGTGACATCCTTATTAGCTATAGTGAAATGTATTATTTCTCAGTTTGCTGGTAATAGTTTACACATTCCAATTATATACAAGCTGGTTTTCTCTTTTATCCTGTTTTGAGGTAGTGGAGGATGCATTTTCTCCTCTTTGGATGTATATATGTGGTTGTCCTACTATCTGCTGGTGAAAGCAAGTTTATGGAAAGAATCCTGAATCTATGACCTTGAAAACCATCTGTGTTGCCCTTGCAACAATATGCAAGAGCCACACCTAGAAACATTGCTGATTGTGTCAGAAGGACAGGCTTCGCAAAAAATGTTTGGGTCACGGGAATACAGTGCCCTTGTCACCTTCTCCACTCTAACGTTCATACTCTAACTGAGTGCTACACCCCTTCCTCACTGACCCCTTGACTGCAAGTTTAGGAGGAGGAAAAAGGAAGCTTACAGCTGCCCCAGTGCAACAGGCACAATCTATTTCCCCTCCTTTTTGGGTTGCTTGTGGATGGGCCAATGGTTATCATGCCCCAGAAATTCTCCAGACGCCTGAGGCACAAAATAAATATTGCTCTCCCCACATATAGGCCATAGGAAAACATGTGCTCACACTGATGAGTGCACATGAAGAGTGCAGTGTTGGAATACAGCTACTCTTGTGCAGACCTGGTGCGTTTAGCATTTGCACTGCTTGTTCCTGGGGCAGCATCGGTGAGTAGATGCACCCTGCACTGGGAAACTTCACACACTAAAGAGCTTTTACACTGGACAGCATTACATATATAAGACTTACTTGTGCGATATTTAAATTTTTACTACAGTTCATATAGGAGGCCAGAGAAGCAAATCAAAGCACATGAACTTACTTCTTCAAGGCAGTCTAAGGTTCTTTCAAAATGGTTCTGTAATGAAGCTTCAGGTTTTTGTCTGTAGCTGCCTGGGTTCAGGTGGGGAGCATTCAGCAGCTGCCTCTCTCTGTACACACAGCTCTCCGTTTTCCAACATTTATCCATCTCATCTACATACTTGTCAGCTGTTCGGAGCAAGAGAGCAAAAATAATCCCTTGGCTTGCAATAGGAGCTTGTGACTCTGACTGTATCCTAACTAATGGGCTGTTCTCTCGCACGCTTACAGCTCAGCACTCTGCTGCGTAAGGCAGAGTCAGGTTCAGGGGGAGGGGAAAGATGTGACTGTAGCTGGTCCAGGAAGACACCGAAGGCAGAGCAGACTAACCAAGGGATTTTGAAAGAGAGGCCTTTGAGAGAAAGAAAGTTCATAGAAAGAAAGCTTTTGAAACAGGGCAGCTTCAGCTAGGTCTATCACTTTCAGGAAGCAGAAACAGAGCAGTGAATCAAACCTGTTTGTTTTATTGTGATGTTTTAGGATCAGGACTCAGCAGATGCCGAAATGGAGGATTAACAGAGACTCAGTGAAAGGTACATCCTCTGCTTTGTGTGTCTGTGGAGCAGACAGGACATTATTTTTGGTGGTGGCGGGAGCAGGGAGGTATTCTTTGCTGAGCTCTAGTTTCTAATCTCAATTTCCAGTTTGGTTTTCTCTGTGTGACTGAGACGTTTGTATTTTGTTTTGTTTTGATGCAGAATAAGCGGGCTGCTTAACAGATGCCACCTGGTCCCTGAGATGGAAGTGCCGAGCATCAAAGACTTTCAATGGAAAACTCTGGCGCCTCTGCCCAGCCCAAGAGTCTATTGCTCCCTGGTGGAGGCTGGCGGGCAGATCTTTGCCATCGGGGGCTGTGACGACAATGGTGTCCCCATGGACTGTTTTGAGGTGTATTCCCCTGAAGCCAATCAGTGGAATTCCCTCCCTCCTATGCCAACAGCCAGAGCTGGTGTAGCTGTGGCTACGCTGGGCAAGAGAATAATGGTTATTGGAGGCGTCGGAGCCAATCAGATGCCCTTGAAGATTGTGGAGATGTACAACATAGACGAGGGCAAGTGGAAGAAAAGAAGCTCATTGAGGGAAGCCTCCATGGGGATCTCTGTGACTGTGAAAGGCAAGAGGGATCCTTTTACTGAAGTTGCTGGTGACACCATAACATTGGCTTTTAGGAAAGGGCCACCCTCCCTCATCCCAAATTACTTCTAAGTAATTTGATTGGTACAGCCCGGTCAATTTCTCCTCACTCAGAGACAGGTCTTGTCAGTGGGGAGCTATTGGCCAATTTTGGCTGCTCACCTTTGACGCTTGTACATGAGTTGTTGGAATGAATTTCTTTAAATTGTTCTGGCTGAGGCCAGGTGATTCTCAACAGCCCACCCTAGAACAAGCTGTGAAGTCTGTCTTGTAATTGGAGCATACCATCTGTTTCTCTGATCTCCACATCTCTTGCAAAAAGGAAAAAAAACACCCTAACAGCCAGGAACATTCTGTATTTCTGCCAAATACAGGAATCTGTTTGTTTTTCTCTTTTGCAGAGCTGTTTTTGCAGTTCTTGAAGGGCAAACAAATCCACGCTTTCTAGGGCATGGCACAGTTTCAGTATTTTCAGAGCAGTGCACAAAGAATTTTTTAAAATTAATTTGCAACATTTATATACTACTCCACATTGTATCAGGTTCTGGAGAACTGAAAAGTACAAGCATTCTGAAGCGGTGATTCTGAAATGGAGGACAGGTCTTGGGGGATGTGATAATAGTGGTGTTCCCAGGGGCTGTTTTTGAGAAGTATTGCTTTAAGGGTGGCAATGGAACATGAAAGCTAAAGCCATTGCTGAGCAAGCTGCATGTGCGTGTAGCAGAGAATTGCACTCCCTGAAAGCATAAATCTGCTTCACTTATTATACTGCTTTTGAAATCCTGTGCCATTTCAGTCACAATGTGATGACTGAAAGTTCTTAGGAAGGAGAGGGTCAGAAACTTCACATCACCCATGCCTGCTCTTGGGTACCTAAATTGTTGCTCAAGCAAGGGTGGCTTAGGAGAGAAGCATCCATTGGGATTGTTAAGATTGGAGGTGTACATTGTTCATTGCTGCTCCACATCCTTTGGACAATGCTTGTAGATAAATCCTTGGTAAGATTATAAGTGCAAGTTCCTACCCTAATGCTGGGTCTGGGCTACACCAGGACGTCCTCAACCAAGGGCCATTTGGATGTATCTGTCCACAACCATCATCCCCCCCAGTGGAAATGGCCACGCCAGCCAAAGATGACAAGGATTGTAATCTAGTGCATCTGGAGGAGATCAGGTTGAGGAAGGCTGGGTCAGATTAGCTAAGGAACCAGCTTTATGACTCTGTGGGTATTGTGTTTATTTTAATATGCAAAGCCCTAAGCAGTTTGAAGTTGGCTGGGGTACTTTTGGAACAATCTAAATCTGACACCTTTCATGCATGTATCAATTGTCTGAATGGATTTTAAAGTATGACTGACAGGTGCAGGGGATGACATTTTATCCAGATTAGGATCCTAGTAGTGGGGGAGAGCTTACTTGTGGCCCTCCACTATGATCCCAATCCTGTTCAGGGGAGCATGTCTGTTACTCAAATGAACAGATGAGCTTCCACTGACACTTTTATTTCCCGCAAGGGCTGTCTGTTCCCTCATGGGCTTGTCCTTCCATCAGGATTCCATGCTTATGTGAGATCTGATGGGCAGGTACATGAGTTCAGACCTCGGCAGTGGTGGCACCAAGAATGTGGAATACCTTTCCCGCAAAAATCCTCCAAAGCCCTTTCTCTTTTTGATGTTGAGCATCCATGAGAGACTTTTGACATTCGTCATCATATTAACATGCAACTTTAAAATGGTTTAATTTGCTGCACTTTGTAAAGTTAATGTCTGCCTTTACTATTATTTATTTTAATGGGCATTTTATTGCTCTTTTATTTGTCTAAAGTGCTTTGAGAATTCTTTAAGAGGAAAAAGGAGATTAACAGCCAGTTCTGGCAGTTTCCACCTCCATCAGGAGCAAGTCTTTTGTAAAGCTGGTGGGCCTGAACTGCCCCTTCAAGGCCAGGCCACCCAGAATGCTTTGCCTTAGAGCAGAGCATGCTGCTGGGAAAGTTCACTCTCGCCATCTCAACACCCCAGGGACTGTGGGGCTTTAGCTATATTCAGAGGGAGCGAGAAGGCTAAGAAGGGCCACGGCTTGGGTCATCTGCTGCCCTGTGAATCAGACATTTTGGTGTGGCTTCCCTGTGAGCCATGGCTCCACTACCCACCCCCTGTCCGGCCTGCACACAGATGCATGTCTCAGGATTCGGATCTTTTCCTGCCTGTAGCTTTTCTACCCAGCAACCTTTCCTACCAGGGAACACACAGAGAGACACCAGCTGTTTCTCGGCACCAGTTTTCTCCTTCCCAGGTCGCTTTGATTTTAACAGTGCTAGGACTGTAATACGTAGGCATGGAATGTGTGGTTAACCTCACGTACATCGTGAAGCAGCCTCTTCATGAGCTACTGAGAGAAATCAGAGGCACGTTCCAAGTTGGTGCCATGTTAGCCCTTCTGTTTCTCTCTTGCTCTCCTTTCCAGACTACCGGATCTATGCTGCCGGTGGCATGGGAGCAGACTTGCGCCCTCACAACTACATGCAGCACTACGACATGCTAAAGGACATTTGGGTATCGCTGGCAACTATGCCCACACCCAGGTATGCTGCCACCTCCTTCCTGCGAGGCACCAAGATCTACGTGCTGGGTAAGTGGGTCTCTAGCCTCTTCTGCCTCCTACTTGACGGGACATCGGTCTAATCCTTCCGCTCCTGCTCCTTCCCAAATAAGTTTAGGATGATGCCAGCTATTCCTGCCTCCTGCTCCCATAACTGCTCAAAACATACTGCATTCTCTGGATTTATTTATTATTTATTTATTTATTTATTTATTTATTAAAACATTTTTATGCCGCCCCATTCACCGAAGCCTCGGGGCGGCTTACAACAATTAGTAAATAATTATAATTAAAAATATAAACATTAAAATAAAATACATACAATATAAAATAAAATAAGCCACCCTGGCCAGATAAAATTCAGTAATATTAACATTTAAAATGCTGCTTAAATAAAAAGGTCTTTGCCTGGCGCCGAAAAACAAATAACGAAACAAATTTCCTAGGTATTAAAAATAGACCTGCGGCTGAACCTTCAGATCAGTTTTTCTGCAGAAGTTTGTGGGTTCCTTTTTATTCTAAGGATGAAGAAAATAATATTTTTGTGAATGGAGCCATCCCATATTTTAAAACTAAAGGGCATGCATGGTTGGCACCACAGGTATGTCTTCCTATCCAATGTGTTTTGTTCCCAAAATGCATTGGGCATAAGTTTTTTTTTCCATTTTTAAGATGATGATGATGATGATACTACAACCACATGTTGATGATTACATGAGTGGAACTGGCTAGAGCTGGGGGTCAGACTAGATGGCCTAGGAGACCCCTTCTGACTCAAGTTGTTTCTATGTTTCTGTACTGCTATCATTGCACTCGTAGTGAGTAGAGTGCTCCAGAAGAACTTTCCCCATCCTTATATACCTGTGAAGTAAACCTTTATGATACCTGTTCTGTGAGAAACTGAGGATGAGTGAATGTTTAGGACAGCACTACAGATGCATAAGGTAGTACTTGACTGCAGGTATTTTAAGAAAGGATCCCACAGGCTGCAGCCTGTGCCACATTTGTTTTTCATCCCCACTCTTTAAATACCAGTGTGTGTCTTCACTGACCACCCCAAAAAGGAAGCAGGTATTCAGCAGCAAGGCAGATAAAGTTCTGCACCAAATTGCTGAGCCCTGTGGCTTGCGTTTAGTATAGAAAAGAAGCATGCTTGTGTGTATTTTCCTATTTTGCAAATAGAGAATTAGATCTGAGCCCATTGCACATACCAAGAAGAAGAAAATGAAGAAGGCTGTTGCAATCAGTTGTATAAACTTGCAGAGTAACTTGAACCTGGGAGCAGCCACAGCAGCTGCTCTCTGAGGCTGGGAAAGCAACCTTGGAAAAGGAGAAAAGGGAACATTTCAGGGGAAGAGGCTGGAGTGGCTGGGATACAAGGTATCCTGAAGCTGGTCCAGCTTCCTTTCCCTTGGAGATGCTCTAGCTAGAAGGTGAAAAAACACACCTAGTGAAAATGCAAAATGGGGGGATGGAGGGCTCACTTTTGCTCTGCACTGGATGCCTGCAAGCCTCTGAGCTTGGGGGCTTACAGGCACCCTAAGAGGATTGTGCCCTGATATGCAGTTCCTAGCAGTAACAAAAGAAAGATGCATGGAATCCTTTTTGAAGGGATCATTGTCATCAGACTTATAGACTGGTTGTCTGATAATCTATCACACTTACAGTCAAATACTCACATGCACATACTATACCCCAGGGCCTGTTAGTTCAGGTCTATAATCTCTAGGTATAGTCAAAATAATGAAATAAACTCTTTAATGAGCTGGCTTTTCAGTATAATGCAAACTGAGAATAAGCTATTTCCAGCAAAAAGGAATGTCTGCCTTCTGCAGTCTCACATCACACTGTATTCTCTGAGGTACAGGTTAGAATTATTTTAAACCTCTTCAGAAGTGGCTGGGCTCTACAACAAAGTCAGCACCACTTAGGATCAGGGGAAGGTGTGGAAGTGAACAGATCATTTCCTCTGATGGCTTGTCCATATCCTCTTACCTCTGATAGTCACCCTGAGTGCCATTTCTCTTTGTAGAAAGGTGGGGGGCAATTCACATAAATAAATGCAGTTAAATAATACCTCCCCCCCCCCCACAGACACACACCTTTTTGGTGGCTCTTCCCATAACATTTTGGACTGCTGGTTTTTAATGACAATACCTGTTTCTGCTGATTTTTTTTTAAACTGGTGAGCACTGGTGTTATAGAATTTTAATGCATATGTATTTAATGATTTTTATTGCATCTGTACTGTATCATGTACACTGCTTTGGGAAAGTTTTATTCTTAAATGCAGCCTAGAAATAATTTTAAATAAATGGATAAATAAAAACAGTGCTTCTTCACCTGCTTTTCCTCTCTTCTTGGGAATTATTCCCCTCTTCCTTGGGAAGCCAGCCAAATGATTAAAAAATCTCAAAATTCAGTGTAGACCAAAACTGACTTTTCACAATAATCCTTTCTTCCTCCTAGGTGGAAGGCAATCCAAATATGCTGTGAATGCTTTTGAAGTCTTTGACACCGAGACCAGATCATGGACCAAATTTCCCAACATCCCCAGCAAAAGGGCTTTCTCCAGCTTTGTGTGCACAGAGAACAACATCTTCAGCCTTGGGGGGTTGCGGCAGGGCCGGTTATATCGTCAGCCCAAGTTCATGAAGAATGTGGACATCTTTGACATTGAACAAGGTATATGTTCTTGGGTCTCCCTCTGTTTTCTGTTATGCAAACCATAAGCCAGGATCCCCAACCTTTTTGGGGTTGCGGCACTCTCACAAAATGTGCTCAGCACGGTAACAAAATGTATTATTGAGGGCATTGTGAGCACTGTGATAAAATGGTTGCCATGGCCAGCATGTTCAGCTAGAAAACACTCATTCCCCAGATAATAAACTCGTTATGAGCCAAAATACAGCCAGTGATCCAAAACACAAAACCAACCTCCTGAACCCAAATAAAGATGGCTCTGGAGGGCAGGCTATGCAATTCACTTCACAGCATACCAGTCTTCCAGTTAAAAACAACCATCTGGCTTAATTTCTAATCTGAAGGAATATAATAAAAAGGCAGGCACCAAGAAAGATGTTTGTGGGCAGAGTACTAGTTGCAGGTTTTTGAGGCCCCTTGGACAAGACACCCTCAAGGGCTCCTCTCCTTCAGTGTGTCTACCTTTTCATCATCATTGTCATGAGGTGTAATTGTTCTTCACTTGCTTTCTTGTCTCAGGCAAAACATCTGAGCCAAAGCATTTTTTCTGTGTACATGGTAACCAAACACATAGAGCAGGACTCCCACCATCCCTGTGTGAACTCCCTCTAAATGCAGTCATGCAGGTAGGGGTAGAACAGTGTTTGCCAGATGGATTCAAGTTCTAGGGTTGGCTTCTCATCACTTAGGCCTGGTGGTAGATTTGAGGGGGCCCTGGGAAAAGTGCCCTTTGGAGGCAGTGAGCTTCCTTCAGTGCCATCCAACAGCAGACTGTTCCCAGCGCTTACCAGCTGTAGGGGTATGATCTGTTCCATACTAGATGAACAGACTGGAGTGCCAGGCCCATGTGGCTGGACTGGCCACACCACAATAACAATTCCTCCAGAATGCAATGCATAGTTTGTGCTCAGTGTCTGAAGGCTAAGCATAGGATGCTCCTGTATCAAACACACACCAAGCCTTCTCTTATTCCTCTGATCTTAGGCTGTTTAGAGGCTTATGGTTTCCCTTGAGGAATTAAAAAACCCCAAACTCTTGTAGAAAACATTGGGATTGCTGAACAGGCATTCTGGTTAATTTCAGGGGGTTGGACAAAGATCGAGCGCTCATCCTTTCTGAAGAAACGGCGGGCAGATTTTGTATCTGGATACTTGAAAGGAAGGATCATTGTCGCAGGAGGACTTGGTAAGGATAATTTCTGTCTATTGCCTTAGTGTGGAGCCATTGAGTAGATTGGGAGAATATTTCCATTAACAGTGGCTATTGCCACTGTGCTCTGGGACAAGAGTGACAAAAGGGCCGGACCAGAAAGTTTGTCTTGGTTCCTGTGCACTGACTTCTCTTCCTCAGGTCTCCTCAGCTCTGGTCCATCCCTATTCAACAGCCTTTTTCTGCAGCCGGTATAGAAGTGAACCAGGCTGGCGAAATGAAGCACTTGCCCCAGCTTGAGCAGTGTATAATCTGTGGCAGATGTGTGGAACCTCTGGCTTGCATGCCAAAGCCTGTTTAGGGGCCCCAGATGCCCAATGGTGTCTCCCTTCCCCACATCACCAAGTGGTTTCAAGCATCCAGCCACCTATTTGGGGGTTTCTCAGCTTTTGCACAATTTTTCTTTCATATTTTAATAGGAGAAAAACTTCTTGAATTAGCTGCTAGCAGTAAGAGCTTTAAGCTATTGAACGTTTTACATGAGCCATTTATTGTGCCCTTGCAATACCTTATTCATTACTGATGGTTGATTACAGATTTTTTAGACAATGTTGTGATCCTCCAATTTTGCTTCTGTTCTTTTGGATCACACCCCCTCCTCCACCGCCTCATACACCTTTTTTTCAGAATGTAGAAAATAAGGCATTATTTTAGAACAAGGGAAATGGCCTTCTTTTCCCTTGGAGCTCTTCAGCGTCATCCAGGGTCTGTTACATGCTGGCTGTAAGGAAATTATCCATTCATCTGAGTCCCATCTGAGGCCCTTATCTGGGCGCTTCTTCCAAGGAAATCTAGGAAAGCAGCAATGAATCAGAGGGCCTTCTTGACAGTGGCATCCCACCTGTGGATTGGTCTCCCCAACAAGGCCCACTTGGTGGCAACACTGTTATCTTTTCAGTGACAGTTTAAAACCTCCTTTTGTCAGGCATTTGATGTGATGAGGCATTAATCAGGTCTTGAATTCCTCCTGCTGATTGTTCAAAAGTATTTTATGTATGTGTCTCTCTTTGCGTTGCATGTATACAGTTTTTATGTTGTATTTTTAAATGTTTTAATATTTGTAAACCACACAGAGAGTTTCAGCTATTAGGCAGTATAGAAACATAAAAAATTAAATATATACTAAAGGTGGCCAAGAGTGATAATGTCCTTTTTGTTTTGAAATGGATTTAAATTGTAGTGTAGACATGCAGAATAAACTGTTTGAATGACCACTTGATAAGGTTAAGGCTTTCATCCTCTCTCTCTCTCTTTCTGATTCTTTCTCATATCAGGAAACCAACCAACTGTTCTGGAATCAGCTGAGGCCTTCCATCCTGGAAAAAATAAATGGGAGAGCCTACCACCTATGCCCACCCCACGATGTGCCTGTTCCAACATTGTGGTAAAGAATTGTCTTCTGGCAGTGGGTGGAGTGAATCAGGGCTTGAGTGATGTGGTGGAAGCACTATGTGTCTCTGACTCCTAGTTCACCTGTCGCCAGATGCTCCAGACACAAAAGATCCTACACCCAACACCTGAGAAACTGGCCACTCTGCAGTGTTTGGCCAGCACTACAGTAGGAAGAGTTGGTGCCTTCCCTACACTATCTCTCCTGCTCTGCTCCTTTTCTGTTATTCCCTTCACTGTGTACTTAGGAGAAGGTAGCCTCTTGCCTTTTGTAGCTACATGGTTTTGTGGCTCTGCTATCTTGCAGAAGCTCTTCCTTGTGACAAGGTCACCTTTGCAAGTGCTGTTGAGTTCCACCACCTGGCACAGCATCACCTCACCCTGTCAACCCTGAATGGCAGAGGAACATGCCAGAGTTACCACTAAGCAAAGTTTTCCAAAGGAGGTGAGATGTTTTCAACCAAGCATCAGGAAGAGCATCATCTCTGAACTGTGAGGCAGTTTTGTCTTCCTCTGAAATATGATGTTCTAGATAGATAAGAAGAGTCTCTGCTAAGTTCTTCCAAGTGTTCATCATGGACTGAGAATGGACTCATACATGAGAATAGACTCATACAGAGCTATAGCTTGCATGCTCCAGTGTTCTTTCAAGCCCTGCCATGAAGCCTTAGTTTCTTCTGGGGGAATCCTATAATGGTGCATAGTTTCAAAGGTTCTTAGCTGTGACATTAGTTTTTTCGGCATGCTAGGCTCAAAGCATCTTGACTGAATTTCCTAACCATGAAGCTAGATGAATGGTGAACATTCTTATCTCTGAGAGAGCACCGAATTTGAAGCCTTGACTGACAGTCTGTGCAGTTAGAGATATGTGTTGCTTCTGCAAGATGGCTGAAGACTAAAAGACTGTAGCTAGAAATCAATTTATGCAGGAGAATGCCTTTGCTCCATGAACCAAGATTTCTGATTCTGCAGTGCACATGCACATGCACACTCACACATGTTCCAAGTTATTACCCAGTGTATTGCACACAAGGGAACATTTGCACAACCCAGATCAAGCTTGATACAGCCAGTGAATGTGTAGCAGGAATGTTATGGGTTCAACTCATAATATTTTTGTATAGCCCATGGCAACAAGAAAGCTTGAGTACAGTTTTCCCTGCTGTTTTTATTGTATTTCATTTACTGTTTCCATCTTTACTTCGGCCTGAAGCTTGACATTGTCTGTGTCATTCAAGTGATGTATGATAGATCAGTTGCACTCCTGGTTAGTAATTAGCAAGTAGCCCAATTAAAATATGTTTGTATAAGGCAACGTGAGCACTTGTTCTGGGGAAGCATGGCCGAGATGGCTGTGCATCCAAAAGAGGCTTAAGATGCTGTGCACGTACTTTTAGCTCTCTGCTTAATGGGTGAGTGCCTGTAGCCTACACTGGTAAGCTGCATGCACTAGCAGCTATTTTGGGTTTGCCTTCTCCTCTCCTGCCTCCTGTTGGGGTACAGTCCCTGCAGCCAATATCAGCCAGTTCCCTGAGATGGGACATGGTGCATCTTTGCTGTTGGTCATGTCATTTCCCAATTTCCAATTAAAGCCGCAGTTTCCAAGTATGAAGGAGCAAAGAGCATATGAGGCGACTTGCTCAGCTGCATCTTTGCCCGTACTGATGATGTTATGTCCTCCTGTTGCTCAGGGATGTGGGGTGGGGACATGTGTCCCTCCAGATGTTGATGGACTGCAACTCCCGCAATCCCTTACCATTGGCTATGCTAGCTAGGGCTGATGGGAGTCAAAGTCCAATAATGTCTAGAGAGATACATAGTCCCTGTCCTCGCTGCAGCTGCAACTTCTTTCTAATTCAGATAGCCAGCTGTGGTGTGCTTCACTTCCCAGCTGGAGGGAGAGAAGAAGGAAGTGATCCAAGTAGCCCTTGTTTGTAGTTAGCAGCACTGGATTTTCCATTCAGTATGTAAAAAGTAGTCATGGTTACTCATGGCATACTCATGTCTCTTTGAGTCTCTTTTGAATATGCATCTATCTTGAACCTTCAGCTTTTGGTGGAGCAGATAGAGAAAGAATGAAAATATTCAGTGGCATAGGATTCGAATCACTGCAGATCTTTCTGGGTGTCAACCCAAGACCTTGCTGTCTCCAGGTCAATGCACCCTTCTTCCATATTCTTATTAATGATTTTTGCACAATCATATGAGAAATGGGTAAAGGAAGCCTACAGTGTTCACTCTGAACAAAAAATATGGATGGAAAAGTCAAATGGCTTGGTGGTTCTTTCATCATCTGGACAATAGCCAGGGGTTGCCTTAATTTCCCACCAGATTTTGCCAGTAACTTATTACTTCTTAAAAAGAGAAGCCAACTGTCAATTCCTGCTCAGACATATTCAGCATGTTCACACACCACACTAACCTACCTTGGCAATAGGCCACTGTGGGCTTGTTGTCATGCAAAACAACCCAGAGTGAGCCTGGTAGACAATGGGGGTCACTGTGGGGTATTGGTCCCCTTGGTCCTCCCTCAGTCACAGGTTGTTCTCTCCCACCCCTCCCTGCTGCTACAATGGGCTGTTTTGGCCTTACTATGGCTCTTCCATTCCGGGGGTGCAGTGAGAGAGATTGCAAAAGCCGGCTGGCAAGCTAGCTTTTGTAATCCCCTAAACTGTAGAGCCAGAATATCCCAGTTGTACAATGCTGAGCCAAGACATCCCACAAGTGACCATCTCTGCACTTCTGCAAGTCTGACTAAATCTTAAATCCAGCAACAAAAAATATTTCTGCAATTTTTTGCACTTGGCTGATTTAAAAGGAGGGTGGCAAACCAGTGACAGACCCTTCAATGTGCTGCTTGGGCACTTTGGAGGGCTGTCACTACAAATAAAGTAGGGGAAGGGAGGAAAATCCACATCAGAAATAAAAGAGCTTGTGATCACAGCAGGAAGAGAAGGCAAGGCTGCTTTAGCAACCAAGTCCCCTTGGATACCAGGTGGAGCACCAAGGTGGAAGGCAGGGAGATAACTCATGTTAGCCTAGCCATGACTTGGCCACAAAAATGTTTTTTTGGGCAACCACCAGTCCACTATTGGCTATTTGCAGGGTAACTTGGCATTATGTAAGAACCTGCTCATTATCTAACTAGTAGCATTTACAATTTGAATATGATAGAGATATATTTGTCTTGCTTTATCTTGGAGAAATTTAGGTAAAAATCTCTCACGCTCAAAAAGTCAGCCACTAAATTAGGGACATCAGTGTTTTTGCCCTGCTGAGTTTTTGACTTCCTAATTCTGAATGTAGTTTGAAATGTTTTAACTTCATTTATTTTATATATTTTTATTCTACTATTCAGTGCTATGATTTCCCAGATGACGAGTGCAAATGTAAAACAATGTGACAGGGTATAAACTCCTTTAGCCCAAGGACAAATTCCATTGCAGGGAAATTTGGTGGGCTGTCTGTGAAATCCTAGGGAGGGGACTATATTTGCATTTCTGGAAGGTCAGATTTGTCCCTCTGGCCTGAGGTTCTGCACTGCTGGTATATGTCAACAACTAAACCCGCACAAAAATGAAAATGTCACTGATGCAAATTGCAGCATGAAACATGTTTAACTAAAGAATCCCTTGAAAGGCCTTAGATGATGGTGGTGGCAGTGGCTGCGCTGGTATAAGAAGCCTTTGTATGGTGTCAAGAGTTCAAAAGCCAGGATGCTAGATGTATTTCTCTTGGGAACATTCCAAAGGTGGGACATTCTAGCAGAGAAGGTTTGATGGGTCCAGTCACCACTCATCTCAGTCCAGGAGGTGGGATGCACAAAGCAGGGTTTCTGAAGGTGTCTTCAGTATTCAGGCAAGTTCACATGGGATGGGCAATCCTTCAGGTACTCAATTCCAAGCTGTGTTGATAGGCCTTCAAAGTACTGAAACGTGAAATAATGGTGGACTGGGAACCTGCTCTTAGCACTGGTAAGAGATGTCCCCATCAACTAGCACGAAGTACCAATTCCTCCAACAGTCCCACATTTCTGAACAGCATGTGGCATTCCTGCCCCTCTAATCTAGTTCATTAGGGACTGTGATATGTCTGGAAATGATCTCATCTGTTAAAGTTTTCTCCAAGGTTTCCTCCACAAGATCCTTTCCAGAGATTCATGCAAAGCTTGCCAGTTGGCTGCAGAAGAAAAGAAATTACTCTTATTGGTTGTAACAATTTGAAGCTACTTCTCTTTTGCTGGATCATGCCAATATCCCATCCATTTCCACAGGAGAACAATGTGTAGAAGCTCATGGGGCTCTTATAGTAAAATTTGCACACTTTTCAGATCCAAATACAGGATTATGTCTCCTTTTGAAATAATGCAAATTATAATAAGCCAAGCATTTCCAAATGCTTAACTTTGTCTGGATTGTAGCCATGGTGTAACACTGAGGACTAGATAAGTACATACCACACAGAGTAAACTCAGGAGAGAAGGAAGTAAAAAGCAAAACCAAACCCAGCCTATAAACAGTTTGTAATGTTCTTGTGTCATCAGCCTGGGGCTAACTTTCATCCTTTCTCAGACAGTAGTTAATCTAATCTCGTGTTGAGTTAACAAATTCACTTAGCCTAAGAGAAAAATGGGATTTAGCATAACACACTCTTAGTCTGTGTTGTGCAGAACAAGCTGTAGAGTGTAAAGGGATGGAGGAAGCTGTATGAAAGCTTAGTGAGAACTGAGCTCAAGTGTAAATGGCCTAAGCTGCTTGCTTCTCTTGAATGCTGCTGCTTTGTATTCCTTGTTTCTAACATGGCAGGGGCTGCAGGAAGAGCTTTGGATGCCGCATACAAAGACAGGCTTTCCTCTGACAGGCTGATAGAGCCATCTGTACTAATCCTCTGCCCATACAGAGCTGGTAGAATCAGTGGATGACGCAAGTAAGGAAAGGGAGCTTCTTTAGGGGGGCGAAATCCAGTTCCATGATACATAACCACCCAGCAGGAACGAACATATCTCTCCTTTCCTGCTGCAGATCCACAGCATACCAAGCAGAGCAGGAAACACACCAGGAGAGGTGGAAGAAGAGTAGATACAGTAGAAACAGAAGGAAGATTGAGGGTTGTTTTGTACACAGGGAAATGCTCCTATTGCACTGGAGAGAAAAGCCCATGTGAGGATGGTATCTATTTCCTTGTGTTGCACATGAACATGTTGGGAATCCTACCAGTTATAAAATTTCTGAATGGTGAACTAGACATACATCTGATCATCAGACATGACTGACTCCATATAAGATAAGATAATGTCCATGCAGTGAAAGCACAATGCGTTCTCCTTCACCATTTCACACAAAGGGACAAGATTCATCACATACAAGACAACAGCATGGAAGAGGTGAGCAATTATTTTTCTATGCACTTGAAGAAACAGGGGCAAGGGATAGGCCTAAATGCATTTTCACACATTTGAAATAGGTTTTAGAGGATGACTGAAAAGAGCATCACTTTGGAGCCAGTGTTTAGTGTCATTTAAAACAGGCCATCTCCTTTACTTAAAGCAGTTCCATGAGACAAGTGAGAATTCTTCTTAATCAAAAGTGAAATTTTCTTAACCAAAGTAGAATGGATCACTTTTTTTTCAAGCACTAAAGCTCAAGAGTACATTGGACACTAATGAATGGATTCCTCACAAATAACACTAAAAGAAGGACACGGATTTGCATACAATGTGCAGGTGCTAATTCATATGTATAGATGCAAATTTAGACAGTGTTATTATTTAGCTAGAAATACAGTATGTTTCATGATAGTGCAGAAGACTGTGACCAGGTGACCTATGTGCCCACCTGTTCAGTCTGCTGTCCCCATACCAAATGTGTGAGGACAACAGGTTTTAGGGCTCATTCTCTGCAAACCTGAAGGGCTCTTCAAAGAGAGGATGCTTCCAAACAGAGTGGGGTTCCCTGGTGCCTTACAAACAGGGGGCAGAGAACCCAAGGCCACCCTACTCTTCAATGAATCTTGTTTCTCAAGTTTGTGCTTTAGCCCTACATATGTATGTTCAGTGGCCTCTGGCTGTTATGGTACTTACCTGAGAGATAGCTTTGGGAGAGATATTACAAAAACGAAAGAGGAGAAAAGAGAGGGTAGGGAAGGGAAGGGAAGCTTGGATAAGGCAAACTGATCATTAAAGGGTCATACAGTAGGGTCCTGTTAGTAACAAGCAAATATATCAGTGGAGTACAGAGTTGGGGAGGAAGAATATAGGTTTTGATGGGTGGCGAGGAAGAATATAGGTTGTGTGTTGGGAACACAAGGGTTATT